GTGATATTACCTTGCTTATCCCAAAGATAGATCATATAATAATTGATCATGAGTTTGAGTATAATTAAATGAAGCTGAAAAATGTTAACATAAATCTTTTATTTTGTCTATTGAGGGATGGTGTCCTAGGTCCCAGTAAATATGGCATATTAAGTTCAATTTGCTCGTTTCTTAATTTGTACACTCAATAGAAAACAGAATTATACGGTAGAAAAAGATCAAATACTCTCCAGTCCAATTATATGGATGAATCCGCGCAATTATTCTTCTCAAATTCGGACATTTGACAATATAGTTTGTTTTAGAGTATGTCTGTGTTGCCGTGTGTTTGTTTTTTTATACGCATATATGCATGTATTCTAAATAAATGTAAGTTGCACCTCGGAAATTCTCCGATGCAAATAGAATGTCAATGATCACTCGTGTTTTCCGACTACCGAAAGTAAAAAAAGTGTAAAGATTAAAGCTTACCAACAAACTTATTAAACAAAAAACTCTGGAAATTTCAAATCTTTTTGACTTTGTGTAATGATGCACAAGAAAGTTGTTTTCTTGCAAAACGAATGATGTGTAACCTTGAGTCGTTTTCAGGAACATAATCATATGGGATTCATGATTATGTAAAGAGTTTTTTGGTATTAGATTCTTTTAAACGACAAGTTTCAAATTAAGGTTACAGGTTAAAATTTAAAAAGTAAGATAATAATACCATTGTATTAATGACAAAGAGCATGCATTAATTTAGTAATAATAGCCACAGTGTACAAATAATCGATACGTATACGACGGTGAGAATAATCCAAATTGACCGAATTTAAAAACAGAGGATAAAAAAGAGCATCTTTCTTGCAAATAGATTTGGGCAATAATTGGATGTTTGTCTTCTTCCAATAAAAGAAATGTTTACCGACCAACGTATAACATCATGCTGGAATAATTCTCAAAAGTTATTTTTCCAGTCAAAAAGGTCACCTGCAAAACTTCACTAACTACAAAAATATAATATTTTAACCAAAAAATTTTTTATACTAATTTTGATTAGACCTTTCCGAAAATCAAACAAAGAATCCACCATCAATTTTTTTGGTATATATTGTTTTTATACTGCTCATTTCATTTATGTATGCACACTAACTTGGTGGATTTTTTTTGAACGGAGGAATAACCTTTTTTGTGCTTCGTTGCTTTTTTAATAATATATTAGTATTATTAATTATATCATCATTAATTTGTATCGAAATTAAAAAAATCTAATTCTTTTCACCTTTACGAACAGTTTGTTTTAAATTTCGAGGCAATAATTGAGTGATAATGATTTTCTTACATTCATTTCCACACACCACCGATAATTTTTTTTTGTTTGTTGTCTTCCCTGAGTTTAAGAAATTTTTTGAAAACTCGTTGTAACTAATAGACTTACTATTACTATTATTATTACATTAATTATATAATAAATAAATATAAATATATAAATATATATATATAAAAATATATATATATATATATACATAAATATTATATAGTCACAAAAAATATTGTTCTCTCCCCTATTTATTTATTGTTGTTTAAATGTTCTATTAATATCTATCGTGACTCATAATATTTAATTAAAGCGTATCAGCTGATAGTTTGTTGAGAGAGGTATTATTCGAGCTTTAAAATTCGAATATTTATCAGATAAGGTTTAGATTTACTCCTACATACAAAAAAATAGGTTTTTTTTATGTGTTGTAATAGTCGTAATACCACATACTAACTATATTACCTAATTATTATTTATCCGCGTTCAAATTCATTTGAAACATATCGAGTAAAACTACGATAATACCAGTCAGATTCACTCAAGATTAAGTTACACTTATTTTTTTCCTGTAGTGCATTACACACGTACACAATAACAAGCTTTCACTCTTGTTATATTTTTAAGCATGCTATGTTTACTAAATATCAACAATATTCCCTCTATCAGCACAGTGTCATATGTACAACTGTTGAGTTTGGCTCAAATGTGTGTACATGCGGGGGAACAAGCGTAAAAAGTAATATATCTACGCACAATACATACATGCATACATACATTATCATTGAAAAAAATAATACATTATTGGGATTTTTTGGCTCTCTAAAATGAGATTCACATATACATAATATTAAAAATCAATCAATCAATCAACAATCAATCAATCAATCAACCGATCAATGACTATCTCAAAAATCACAGTTTCAAATTATTAAAATTTTCTATTATTGAATAAGTTTCAACTTCGATCATTGAATGTCATTTTATTTTATCGTTATTATTGGCGAATAGTAACCATACTAGGAAATTCCGGGAACTAAAATTTCCACCCTGTATTTTTTCCGGCACTTAGTTGTTATACATTCCGAAATCAGAGTTAACCTCCCGAGCAGTTTTTTATGTAACGGTCGAGTTTAATTATTTGCTAATCGAAAATGGACCCCACACCGATTTTTCCAAACTCCCCCAGTGTATCATTCATAATATCAATCAATCGATTACATTTAAATTTGCGGTTTTTACACTATCATCATATCATTATTGTATATGTATAATATTGTTATATTTAAATAACCCAGCTTTTCCCGTTTTTCTGGTTCTTTACGCGCGCGTTATTATAACTATTTTATCATCATCATCATCATCACCAAATAAAGTGAAAAACATAACTTTCCTTCTCATTATATATACTTAAGCTTTTGGCTCATTTTTCCACATTAATCATTAATTAAAAAATTGCACGAGAATTTTTTCGAGTATCACAACACCCAACCAAATTAATTTTATCTGGTAGAATAAATAACAACAACACGCATATATACTTATATATATATCCTCTTACACGCACCCGCACACCAACACACACACACACACGCACACACACATCAAAACACACACACGCACGCACATATAAATAAATATAAATATTGGTTGATTTGTTTTTTTTTTTTTTAAAAAAAAATATTAAAGATTGTCGTCATCGTAGTTGCATACAGTCTTCATCAAAAAGTGACTGTTGGCTGTTCATCAAAAACAAATGAATAATAATAGCATGAACGATACCTCTAATCAATTTTACCGCGATAACAGCATCAACAACAACAACAACAACAATAATAATTATCAAACGACATCAACATCAACACCTCCAATTATGACTTCTCATTTTAATCTTCCATCATTTGATTCAACTTGTAATTTCAATCCTGATGCTATTCAAATCTCGCAGCAGCAACAACAACAACAACAACAACAACAGGCTCAGCAGCAAAAATTCCAACAACAACAACAACAACAACAATATCAACAAGTAGTTGCAGCAGCCGCCGCCGTTGCAGCAGCTTCAGCCGCTACTTCGCCAAATTCTTCGCCGCCATTAGGACTTGTGACTTCAACGGAAGGTCAACTTGAATATGGAAATAGGAATTCTCAATTTTTAGTTCAAAAAATAACTGAAGTTTTTCGGCAACAGCAACAACAAAATCAAACAAATGCTGATATCAATCATGGTGATGGTGGTGAATCTTATCAATATGGTGGTGGGATCGGAATTAATTCGAATAATACTTTCTCGCCTGAGAATGGAAGTGAACATGGAAGTAGTGAGAGTGGAGCCACAATCACTAGCAATAGTAATCAAAACAACAATAGTAATCATAATAATAATAACAACGCGAATATAATTATGAATGACGCCACGCGAGACCAAAAAATTTTCTCGATAGCAAACACAACTGCTCATGATAACAATGATAATAACAATAATAGTAATAGTAGTAGTCAAAATACTAATAGTAACGACGTCAATAATTATCCAAATTCATCTGCGTATATTCCGAATAATTATAATATTAAAGCCAGAAGACTTTCAACTCCGATTGAAATTGAGCAGCATGATGCGACTAATCGTCACATGATTAATGGTATTGGTGGAGCACATCGTGCTCGTTCTCAAACCTTACCTTACCAAACAGCACAACAATTAACAGCAACACATTTAGGTGATATGAATTCGGCCCGATATACGGCCGCTCCTTATCCGGCCACAACATCCTCTTTGTACTTCGATCGTCGCACAAATTCAAATATGTCGATCCTACCGAATTTGTCACCCTTTTCTAATCACCCCAAAATTGTTCAATTACCTCCACCAATAGACGCTGGTGTAACCGATAACACTTCCGATGGATGGAGAGCAGCTATAAATGGAGTAGTTATGTCTGATAACAATGGTTCAACATCTCTTCACTTAGCTTATGCACAAAAGCAGAAAGGTTTTGACGATACTACAGCAACAGCAACAACAGCAACAATGTCGAGAACTACTGTGGGCGCAATTGACCCGGTTTTCACTACCCAAGATCCTGCCACTATAAAACAACAACAACAACAGCAGCAGCAGCAAACACCACCACAACAAACTAATCCAAACAATAACAATATCAACACTAGCAATAATAGTAATAGTAACAATAATAATAATAACAATACGAGTAATAACAATAATAATTCAAGTTCCATTCCGTTTTATAGTAGTAATAGTCAACCACAGACTCCACAACAGCAACCAGTTCCGCCACAACAATCAACTCCTGTTAGTTATGACCGTGCAAACATGCACCCCAATAACATCACTCCTGGTATGCACCAGGCAGCACCTGATTATGGAATGATGACTACTCCTCGCTTTACGAATGGCAGTGTCACCCCGCCGATGGCACCAAACGGTTCTCCGGTGAAACAACAAAGTCCTCAGACTCCAACGAGACCACCTCAAGCACCAGCACCTGCTGCCATGATGACTACCTTTAGCTCAAAGACTGTATCGTCGACTCCTAAACGATACAAATGCACCATATGTCAGAAGAGATTCACTCGGCCAAGTTCTTTGCAAACCCATATGTACAGTCATACAGGTGAAAAACGTAAGTATTTTCTTTTAACATTTACGTTAGAAATAATAATAATAATAATCGATTAACCTTTATTCTCGAATATCAACATTAACTTTTGGTCATTAATGTCACATCATCGATTACTTTCCTCCTTGTTCTTTTCATCGATCAATTAAT